AAGGAGTGAAAAAGCAGGGTGTGTGTGTGTGTGTGGGGGGGGGGGGGTCCTGTGAGCAGGAGGGGGAGATTTTTTAAACAAAGATTTCCGGAAAGAAACAAGCAAAGAAAGGGAAATGACTAAGGTGCATAATGAAGGTGACAAGCAATGCAAATAGAGAACAGGACCATTAGCCATAAAATTATGACCACTGCTAAGTGGAGAGAAAAAACACTTTTTGTCTCGTTAGAATGACGCATGGTTGTGAACGTTCTCCTCTTGGAGTTGATGTAGTAGAAGAAGAAGAAGAAAAGATATTTAAGCTTTGACATGAGTCAAAGTAGAATGACTAAGCTCATCGCCATGACAGCAGAGCTTACCAACGTTCCCAGACTACAGAGATCAGGAACCACTGAAACTGGTCTGGGGGAGATTTTGTGTTTGGAGATTTTTTTAGGGTAATTTTCACAAATTGCAGTAGTAGGTCTTGTTTTATTTTGGTAGTCTCTGTCCTTGCATGTTGTGTCTAGTTTTACTTTCTGCCCTTTCAGCAGTTTTTCTTTTTTTAAACTGTCTTGTCTGACTTTTCTTCCCTTTTTCTTAGTTTATCTGTTTACCACCCCAAGGGTCTCTTATTCGGAGTATTTCCAGAATCTTTGATCTTTTAAAGTTTTGGATGGATGTCTTTGGAGGGGCTTTAAAAAAATCTAGATTATAATATGTTTATTTAAATCCTGTTATAACTCATCAAAGTTCATGTAATAATCTAGGTAAAAACCCAACAAGGTTCAGTCAGGTCATCTGGACAGTTCTTTTGTTGCTGAGACTTTTCGTCCTTCATCCAAAGGACTTCTTCAATCTGAGGAGCCACCAAACAAACTGAGTCCAAAACACCACCTGTTATATAGCTTCTTATATAATGTAAGAATATCAATTTAATTACCTTATATACCAGAGTCATTATTTCACATTCTTAATCAACATTAAAACTTGCACCTATCACACCATTAACTGGTTTTATCACACCAGCAAAATGATTTTTTTCCCCATATGGAGTATGCTGTTTGTGGGAATCAGTTGTGTTTGTTGGTGTCTCCTCAGATTGAAGAAGTCCTTTGGATGAAGGATGAAATGTCTCAGCTAATAAAAAGAAACCATCCAGATGGCCTGACTGAACATTGTTGGATTTAATACCTGGATTATTGAGCATGACCTTTGGTGATCAGACCATTACCATGTTTTTCGGACTATAAAATGCACTTAAAATCCTCTAATTTCTTCAAAAATCAACAGTGAGCCTTTTAATCCAGTGTGCTTTATGTATTAATTCTGGTTGTGCTTACTGACCTCAATTTTATGTGGTACACAGTGCTCAAAAATCGGTCAAAATGAACTTGTTTCGCTTAAAGCGCCTTATAGTCCGAAAAATACAGTAAGTGATTATTTTAACTTAAAATAAATCTTGTGACTACAACAAGAAAAAGGTACCTGAAAACACTGTACTTAAATGCTGTAAAATGTATTTTTAAAATAGTAAAATGCTGTATTTTTAGTGTTTTTGGTGACATTTTTGGTATTTTGGTCTGATAAAGGGTTCTGTAATGTTCTTGTATTTTACTTAAGAAGACTGCTGTGTGAAAAAAGGAAAAAATAAAGCATTGACAACAAAACACAAAAAGATTACAGATCAAACACTAAAACTAAAACGTCAAAGCCATAAGACGCATTTCCAGAGTTACTTTTCACCTCTGATCTCATGCTTGTTCTCTGTCGCCCTCCTGCTCTCGTTTCTGGAGCTCTGCCTCACCGACTGGCAACGAGCCCGCTGAAGGTAGGCTAGGATTGACGCTGCTTGTATCTGAGTCACAGAGAGCCGAGGAACGCTGAAACCCACTGACTGCATTTAACTTTAGGCATCTGACTCCCATGCAGTGTGTGATACAATAGAACCAGCCACTCTTGTTTCTGCACCTCAGTGCTGACGTTTATGCCCACAATTACAGCAATAAATAAAACTCCAACTGGGTTGATATTCATGGATATTTCCAGTGTCCATAAAAAGTAAAAGCCTTATTTTTTTACATATTGTTGCCACAGTAAAATAAGATTTTTACAATCATTTAGCATCAAGACAAACAACTTTTGTTTTTCCTCTTGCACAAATGTGCCTGACATTTTTTTTTTAATTAATCCTCAGCGTTTCAACAAAACCTTTCTAGTTAGTTTTCAGACTGACAGAAGCTGAAAGACCTGATATTAATTTGCAGGTTAGAGCCTGACGCAACAGAATTCACGTGTGAGGAAAACCTGCAGCCAAAGCTATGCATTTTACCTTCTCAATTTATCACCCTGAAGTATTTGTGTGCATGTGTGCTCGCTGCTCTGAGTGGGTTTTATGTAAACACACAACGATGTTACTGAAGTTGAGCCGGTCGCAGGGATTACACCATATAAACACAGGTACAGTAACATAAACAGGACTAAATGAAGATGTGGGCTGAAGAATAGAGTAAAACATACTGAAATATTACAAATTATTTAACAACCTCTTTACATTTACTGCTGCCGAATGTAAAAACTGATTGAGGGCCAACCTTTATTTCAATACAATATCATCTTAAATAAAAAAATGGACATGATTCTTAAATTTTTTATGTAAAAATATTTATACACAAATACAAAATAAACTTTTCGAAAAATATATTTGCAACAGTCAAAACAAGAAATCTACTTCTTTTTTTAAATCATCTTTTAGTATCTGATTTCTAATGACATAATTTTACCAAGGGCAATAAACAGTAAAATAAATAGATAAAGGGCAGCACGGTGGCGCAACTGGTAGAGCTGCTGCCTCTCAGCGAGCAGGTCCCTGGTTCAAACCCCGGTCCAGGGGCCTTTCTGGGTGGAGTTTGCATGTTCTCTCCGTGCATGCGTGGGTTTTCTCCAGGTACTCTGGTTTCCTCCCACAGTCCAAAAACATGCATGTTAGGCTGATTGGTAACTCTAAATTGTCCCTAGGTGTGAGTGAGAGAGTGAATGGTTGTTTGTCTCGTTTGTCTCTATGTGGCCCTGTGATGGACTTGCGACCCGTCCAGGGTGTACCCCGCCCCTCGCACAGTGATTGCTGGACATGGGCACCAGCGACCCCCGTGACCCAAAATGGAATAAGCGGGTAAAGAAAATGGATGGATGGATGGGATAAATAGATAAAGAAAAATAAAAAAATAGATGAAAATTCAAACAGCGACAGATATTTTACCCTAAAGTTACTGAAAAAAAAAAACTCAAAAAGATTGAATTAAATACATTCAGGCAGATGCTCTGCAGCTGTTAAAGAGTTTGAGCTGTAAAAACAGGACTGAGTAAAGAGGACATTAAAGCGAAACTCCTTTAACAGAGTTCAGAGTCAGAGTTTCTTTGTTTGTCATATGTACCACATGTGGAACAAAATTGTGTACACAGGGTCCCAGTTACATCCAACAAAAGTATAAAATGTAAAAGAAAAACAGATCTAAGTTACAAACTTAGAAAAATGTTAACTAAAGCACTAGTAGTACAAAAACAATACGCCGAACAGCAGAACCAACATGAGTCTGTGTGAGCAGATGAGTACGAATGAACACAGAAACATGAAACAGATCAGCAACATGATGTAATTTTTCACAGTGATAATCCTGGTTAGAGATTTATGAGTCTAACAGCCTCAGGGTAGAAGCTGTTCCTCAGTCTAGTTGTTCTACACTGAATGCTCCTTAAACTTCTGTCTGAGGGGAGCGGGGCAAAAAGTGTGTGTGCTGGGTGAGTGGGGTCCTTCATGATGCAGGTGGCTCTCTTCCTGCATCTCAAGGTGTCTGTGATGGTTGTGTGCTTGCTTTTTTAAAATTGTTTCCATCACAGGAAAATGCACATAAATAAACAACTTGTTTGCAGAACACCTGTCACTTAAAGTTTGACTCTTTTCCTCTCAATTCAAACAGCATAACAAGAGGTTCAAACTTGACCAACAAGACTCTGTGGTCCTAGCCTGATATGGTTGTTTAAGCTGATGCCACCTAGTTTTAAGTGAAAGAAACATTTTCAGTAATATCCAGTTAAGTCAGGTCCTCTGGATGGTTTTGTTTTGTTAAAACATTTCGACTTTCATCCAAAATACTTTGTCAGTCCTAGGAGTCACAACAAACTCAGTCTTGTAAATAACACCTTCACATAGTGGGTCAACCAGTTTGATGGTGCTCAGATCTGGGGTCCGCCCTCTCCCCCGCTGACTTGTTTTAGACAGTCATGGCCAAAGTGGTTCAAAACATCAAAGTTCATGCTCAATTATCCAGGTAAAAAAAATCCAACAAACTCAAGTAAATAGCACCTGCTGACTGATGAAGTCTTTTGGATGAAAGATTTTTCTACTTGGATTATTGAGCATGAACTTTGATATATTCACTAATGATTTCACTAAAAATCAGTATTTTTTGTTGTTTCTTAATATTTTTGGTTTGCAAGACAGTTTTCAGCCTGATGAGAAACCGTGTGAAGTTTGTAGCTCGCAAGATTTCAAACAAGATCTTGATACACCCCAACCGGTGACCAGACCAGGGAGTGCCCTGCCTTCCACACACTTACTGATGGGGTGGGCACCAACCACCCCACACAACCATACAAGATACAACAAGTTAGTTGGTCCAACCCAACAAGGCATACATAATTTTCTAAAAGTTCTTTGCAAACCTTTTCCAATTGCCCGACTGAAAAAAAACTGAGCTAGCTCCCGTCTTTGACTTTAAAATTGGTTGAAAATTCAAAAAGATAATTACATTTCTGTTCTAAGACCAGGCGAAGTATGTTTGAGGCTTGACAGAAGTAACAGATGACCCAAGCGCGAGTTCGTGGTTTAAACTGAGATCTCAATAAAGTTCACCTAAAGTATTTCAGCTAATACAGTATACACAAACCATGTTTACACAGGCATGTAGGAAACGGCCTTTGACCGTGCCAAAAAAAAACAAAAAACGAGTGGATTTAGACAAGAATGGATGTATTGTTGCATGTTTACAAAAGAAGACTTGAAGCCCCACCAAACAGATCACATTACAAAAAAACTTCAAGAAGTTTAATCTGAAGAAAGACCCGAAAAACAATAAAAGTGCAGCTTTTTCGTAAACCGCTCTCAGTTTCACTTTGTGCTGACTGACTGAAAAAAAGCAAAGGCTGCAAGAAAAACCGTTCAGCGGCTGGGAATGAAACCGTGGCACGAAAGTCTGAAGGATTTCAGTTGGCTGCAGAGAGGAGACGGATCAAATTTCTTCAAGTGTGGCGAGGAAAGCCTGTGAGAGTTATGCAATGTTGTTGGGACGTGGAGCCAGAAAGGGTGTAAACAAAACCCGCTGGAGTGGGACAGGCCCAGTCGTTGCCTGGTAACAAGTATTTTGGGCCAGACCAGCAAACATGGCCCGCCTTCCAAAGAGGAAACAGGAGCTGGCCTCATGAGCACAGAGCAAGAGGCTTTCCCGAAAGTACGCTAAGAAACCGAGGCAAGCAAAACAAAGCACATCAGGAGCCCCAGATAACACTGCATCTATATTTTTCACCAGTCTAGACCACCACGAGCCGTAAACAAACTCTATAAACAAAGCAGTCTAGGATGAGGACTGCAGTCTCATTTACTCCACATTACTCCGCAATCTAGACGTGACTAATGAGGTGAAACTGTGTAGTCTATGGAAAGAAAAGTGGAGTACCAGTAACTTCTACATTTTGTACTAAAGTTTTAATTTAAATGTAGATTCTTGAAGGTAGAGTGATTTTAAGAATTTGAAATGAAGGCCTTTTAAAACCTGCACGATTAGTGCTCACGTTTTAATGCACTTAATTTTAAGCTATTAAATAGTTTGGTTGATTTAAACATATTTAATTGTACAAAC